AATAGCCAGATAATCATTGAGCATATTCTTTGTCACACATATGAACTATTATTTCTTAAGGGTAACTTCAAAGAAAGTTTAATAAAATATCATAAATTTAAAAACGAAAAAGAAAGTACGAGCTATGCTAAAAGCTGTACTTACAAAAGTTTTAAGATATCTTGAAATGTAAAATAAACATTAGACAATATGTAACAAAAAAAAAAGCAGAAAAAAGAATAAAAATTCCTGGTGTCATTGTTTTAACGATTTTAATGAACATCTTAAATATCTCACTTTGAAATCAAAATAAATGAATAGTTTCACAATTGCGCAGGAGAAGAGAACTTCTCTGCTTGAGACAATGCATAATAGCTTTTCCTGATTTAAACTGATTGATATGAAAGTCTCTTTGAATTGAGGCTTTTGCTACGTAGCAAAGCGTTCTTTAGCCAAGCTATAATAAGTAGCTTTATCGGAGAGGACTAACTATGATTGGTGTTTTACAGCTATATTAATTAAGATAGAAAAACATATTCTTTAAAACTAGACATTGTTTTTCATCATAGCTTCACTTTTTTTTGCGAACTAATAGAGATAATATTTGGTGATGTGTGATATTTAATGAATCAATATTTTGCTAACAACCTACTTCATTAAATTTCATCATGCATATATTAGATTCAGTACTTTCGGCAAAAAAGTAAACGTGATAATGACCATCTTAATCAGTGATAAGAGCAATCTTCTATGAATTATTTAATATTTGCTTTGACAATTTCAACATCTTCGTCTTCCGTTTACTGAACAGAAAAAGCCTACAAAATTGTTATTCTGATTGCTAATTAGTCTGTCAATGGTTTGAATCATTATGCTGAAGCTATAAACCGTTGGATCGGAATATTTTCTGAATTCGCTTTATTTCCTGTCATACCTGCAACACATATTTGCCATGAGCACTATTACAGTATGCTATCACATTATGATTGTGTTAAAAATTTTCAAAAATTTGATAAAATTTTTCAAATATTTTAATTTGTAAATGATTGGTTAATTTTGGAAATTTAAATCTAAAATACAAAAGGAAATCATCAAATTATACAAGTAGGAGATATGTAATCATTATTAGATTTAGTAATCATACCTATCCAAAACAATAAAATAAATGCTTTTATGATATTCAAATAAATATCTGAAAATTTGAAGCTCGATTGTATCATAGTATTATTATTATTCCATAATTGAGGAAAGAATAGTTGAAATCATCATTGCAGAATTTTTGACTTTTACAAAATCCATGCCAAGTAGCAATTATTTTTATCATTCAGTAAAATACAATTCATAGCAAGCATTTCTCACATCCTCACAAATAATACGACATGTGGAAATGAAGGATAAAAGAAAAACAAATTAGTTGACGATTAGCAACTAAGAGAGACATTCTATAGCTAATAAAATGAAATAAAAAAGCCGACTGAACTAAATCTTATTTGAAATGAATACTGCGAGGTATTCATTGCCAATTTAAGAATAAAAAGCGCAATAACAAGTCGAAGCTGGCAGTCAAATACATTTTGATTATTCTTTATTAATTTTCCTTTTTCTCTTTCCCTTTTTTTTGAGTAATAGTTTTGTTAAAATATAATTTCATTCAAATTAATGAAGAAGAGAAAAGAAAAAAACAGATCGAGTTAATGAAAAGTAAAGTTAAAAATGGAGGCGAATTTCATTCACTAACAGCTGGTAATATCTATATCATAAGAGATATAAACATACAATGAGTTAGAAATTTCTAAAATTCGATCGGTAACTTTTCTCAATCTATTTAGTATTCGTTTTTTTTTTTTCATACATTTCTTTCATTAATATTATTCTCAGTTATTTTGTCTTATATTTTTATAATTATATATTGGTTCGCTTAAAAATATTCATTAAAAAAAAAATGGGAAGAAAGAAATAACTGCTACTGCTTACTTTACTTACTTACTTACTTACTTATTTACTTACTTACTTCTTTATCTTCTCATTAAAATATCATTAGTTACACTTTTCAATCATTTTATTGTGTGATCAATTTCTTTTTTTAACAAATAGCAACAACAAAAGAAAAAGGTAAAAATGCATGGATAGGTAAAAAGATAATGAGGTATAAATGAATTTATTAAATTTTCTTTATTTTATAAATTCGGCTCCATTAAAAATAATTATATTTCGAAATGATACAATCTTATGTAGTTATATCATTCCTAATGTTTTCACTACAATTATTCTAATTTATCATTTTGCTAATTTTCTTTTCGTCCTTAAATTGTTCATTGTTACATAAATATTTTGATCAAAAGACTGGCAACAAAAAGAAAGAATTGGCATATGATGAATGTGAAAAAAAATAATGAACTTTTAATCAATGATAAGATATAAGGAAAAAAAAGAAGGGATCAAACATTTTTATTTAGTTTCCTTATAAAACTTATTCATTCGATTGTTCATTATCATCAAATAATTATTTATCACTTCTTGATACTTCTCTATTGAAGTGATAAAATATATGAAAGATTTAAAGAAGGATTCAGTTTACCATTTAAATATAAGATAAACTAACCATAAGAATATGAGTGAACTTTTTCGAAAATAATAAAAGTAAGAAAAAAGATTAGTGTAAGATGTTGTTTACTTTCTTATGCAAAAAAGATGATTTATTTAGCAAACAACCAAAAGATGAAGCTTATGGTAATCAATCTTTAGCTTCTTGTTTTTATTCTCATTGACAAGCCATTATGTCAAGAATTTTTGCTCTTATTTGTAAATAAATTCAAGAAGTTCTAAAATACTGATGAGTTAAATTATTCAAAATAAAATGAAGTGAAATGATAACGGATCAATCATTATAAAATTTTATAATAACATCAAACTGATATGATATTGCTATGAACAATAATTATTAATAATAATAATAATTAATAATTCTTTTTTTTTATGCAATAAATCTTTTACAACATTATAAATTTTCATGCATACTTCGCGTTTGTTATCTCCCTCCCTCTTTCTCTCTCTCTCTCTCTCTTGTTCCATTTTATTTTTTGACACGAAATGCCTTCAATTTTTATCCATTTATTTTCTTCCACTTGTTTGCAATTTTTCCATAACGAATGGATTTGTAGAAAGAGGCCTTATAGATAAATGCAGTAAATCCAATATAGATAACGATATTTTATAACATTTGGTGATTGTTAAAGATTTGTAATTTCCTCCTCTTTTACTTTTTATTATTTTATTCTTTCACTATAATAAAATATTTGAAAATATACAAACCACTATGGAATTCGATGAACTTTGAAAGAAACGCTAGTTCCAATTAAATATTGTGATAAGTTCAATGTTTGAATCATACAAACTGAACGATCACTTTTTCATGTTCGCTTTCATTCTTTCCAACCTTTGACCTTTCACATAACTGTTCACTTCATCTCATTAATTACTATTTGTTAGTGGCGAAAAAAAGAAAGAAATGAGAAGAAATGCAACATTTTTAAATCGTTCGATCTCCTTTCGAATAATTTTTATGTAAAAATTTCATAGGCTATTTTTTTCCTTCTTTAGCGTTATCATTAATGTCAAAGTGATAATTAAATTCTTATTCATATGGGAATTACATCGTCAGATAAATGTTTCTATTGTTGCTCCGATAATTATGAAATAACTCAAGCGAAATAGATAATCACAAATTCCACTCAATCAATCAATGATCAACGAGAGAAATTTTTCACTCTCTTTTCACCTAGCAATAATCTATCAGGCTTAAATGATTGGACCACCCATATTGAATGAATCTCTTCCCATATGAAGAATATCATCTGGAAGGCATGGATTAGAAAAGTGGGTTACTAAAAAATCTTCTTGTCATCTTAAAAATTGAGATGTTACCTGTCAATTAATATATCACAAATTCATTATTTCATTTTCATTATTAAGTCATTTATATTACCAATATTATCTTTAAAGTTAAATTTCATGAAGAAACTAAATGCAATAAGAATAAGGCAGAATGAAGATTATCATCCTTATATATTTTGGTTTTAAATTTTAGCAATTATGATTTTACTCGTTAAAGTAAGTTTACTGCTTTGATACTCAAAAGAGTGAAATTCAATTTATATCAAAGAAGGCTATTTTGTTCTGTAATTCCTCGAAATATGTTCATAAATGATGAGAGATGAAATCATACATGTGATATCATAGGTATAGCAGTATTTTCATCAATTAAAAATTCAGCATTTATATATGTTTTAGGTTATTTGTTTACGCTTAAGCGCTATAACAATATTATGCAATTGGTTACACACCATTAGCAGTTAACTTTTTCAGTTTTTCACTTCACATTTTATGCTAAATGTTGCACAGCTGGACGCTTTATTAAATTTTATTCTTTAATTAACCACCTATACTTCACTGTACTTTTAAATGAAATGAGAAAAGTAAATAATTTGGGCAAATAAATCATCCTATTTTCTGTATCATCATCAATTTTTTTGCTTTTCATCGCTTTCATTTCTACAACTTCTCTAATTTAAACCAATTTAATAAATAGAAGTGATAGTATATTTTCAACGACCTTTTCTTCTTTTTTTTATTTTAAATATACTATTTTTATTTACATTGTATGCTAATTCATTACAGCTCAAATTTTCAAATTTCAATATTTATATCTTTAATTGATTTTAATATATTTAATTATAAATATCAGATGTATCTAAGGGTGCTATTTTGCAAATTAGTGTATTTTTTTATTCATAATGCTTGGTGTAATATTATGTTCAGTGAAGTGAATCGAACTGATGCTAAATTTAAAAAATGAATTGGAGCTTTGAAAAAATAGATTATGATAGGAAATACTTCTGGCAAAAGATAAAATATTGTTTGCATTTGTTCGACTAAATCGTTTTATCCTCATAATGTATCGATAGTGAGATGAATTATAATATAATTAAAGAAAATCGAATTAAGGAACAGAAAACCAACGTATGAGTGGAAGCGTCATAGGCAGGGAGCGAAATATTTGCTTGGGATTGGTCGATCAGTACGTCCAAACAATTGCAACAGAAGCAAATTCGACGTAAATTATTACCTGAACTTTAAACTTGAACTAATACATGCTCTCTTAAATTAAATCGTTCATTTATAAATTGGAAATTATTGACTGTAGAGGCTCATAGCTTGTTGGTTAAGGTGTATATCATATATACTAGCTGATAGGATATTAAACTGACCATATATAGCTGATAGGACATTAAACTGCATGAGATTTTCGAACCATAAAAGATGTTTCATTTCATAAATCATTATCTGAAGCGTTTGTCACTTATTGAAAATTGAGTCAGCAACATACAATTGTTTGAAGATGATGAAATCTGGATGTCAAGTTCAACTTGAATTCGTGAAATTATAATGGATTTTCTTATTAGCGAGAAGCAGAAAAAAAATTAAATGAGTTCGACATTTTACGAATATTTCCTCTGGTTAATTAAATTTCAGGTACTGTATGGCAAATTTTGATCGATCATTATGCTGGCAAAAAACTGCATCGGGTGAAGTTGCACAGAGGAAGTGTCCATTTTCGTATTGCCTGAATGTCGAGGGTTGTGAAGAAATTGAGAGTCAGTTTGATTGGATGACAATTTATTAGTAAAATAGCTCTTCTTTAAATATGACTTCAACCATTTCTTAATTTCGGTAATTTTTAGAAATATGAAAGAATTGATTTATTTTAAAAATATGGATTTCACCAGTGATAAATATGATTTATTATTACACAATATAATTTATGGTATCCATTTCATAGCAAATGTAGTAACCTAAAATTTATGTATTTTGAAAGTCTTTATTGGTAATAGGAAACGATACCTTACATTTCGATCAGTGTTATATTCCAAATACATTCAAACATTCTCATTGCAAGTACTTACTTACACATGCGCTTTGCTACCTAAGTGATTCAATGCCTAAAGCAAAGCTTTGCAGAAAACTACACCGTACAACGTATCTGTAATGAGAATGGTAGTTGGGCGGAACCGATTTACACACAATGTATTGACATCCTAAAGTATCATCCCCATTGTATCGTTGGATTCTGTAGGACGGTAATTAATTGTCTTCTTTTTTTCTTTCATATTTGCGATAACTTCCTGAATATTTTTGATGTACACATTAAAGCAATACAAAAAACAAAAAGCAACGCTTTCACTCATACATTGATTTTCAGTTCCTTATTTCAATTTCTTTTAATTATTTTAATTATATTAATCATTTAGAGTATTAGTTATCGTATAATGGTTTTTTTTTTTTTTTTTTGTAAAGAGCAATTTTAAAATCGATGGAAAATTTTGCAAATTATTGAGAAAAGAAGCTTTTCAAAATTCTATTAGAGATTAGAGAGTCATCTGTAAGTGACAATGTTTTATTTTTCTAAGATTTTTACTCGAAGTTTATTATAATATTTTTAGTGTCCGGATTTACTCCGTGAAACGGTTATCAACGTATCATTAACGTTAAGTATCGTTTCTGTGGCATTACTGGTAACTGCACTAATATTGTTTGGTATATTAGATTCCATCCAGTGTCAACGCATTTTAATTCATAAAAATCTTGCAAGCTCTTTTGTATTTCGATTTACTGTGTTGGCTTTATGGACAATTGCGCAGACGATGAATTTTTTTCAGGATTGTTCTTACTATAATTCGATGCCTCTATATGAATATGTCAGTTGTTCCATGTTTCATTTTTTTTCAATCTTCTATAGCATTAGTGGAGAATGATTTTAAAAATATTGTAAAACACTTTTGAAATATTTAATACAGAAGTAACAATTTAAAAAAAAGAATTTTCTGCTCGTAGTTGGGTGTATCAATTGACCCCAAGCTAATATGGCCTTTTAAATTTAAAGATATGATTTTATTATTTTATTACAATAGTTAATTTTCAGGAATGGATTTGTAAGCTGTTACTTTGGCTGGTCATTTACTTTCAGGTTTCATATTTTATGTTAAATCATTTTTATCAATGCCATAAATTGAAGAACGACATTTGTCTTTTTATCCTTTCATCCTTTATCAATACGGAAAGATGGAGTAATTATTAGTTAAGAAATGTCTTCAAATCAGTGCAAATGCATGAAAATATGTTATTTCTCATTTCAAGAATATGAGAAATAGATAAGAGCAAAAAAAGAGGAATAAGAATGGCTAATTTGTCTCATGTACTTTTATTTATCAGTTTTCCAATTTAGCTCCTATCGTTGAATTTTAAATGCTTCTTAAAATACATCAATATAATGACCAATTTCATTTTTAAAAAAGAGAATTTATAGGTTGCATCAGTTATGTGGATGCTTATTGAAGGCGGATATTTGTACAGTCGTTTCACCGTGTTTGCAATGAGAAACATTAATTGTCCCAATTATGCTTTTTTCCTTTGCGGTTGGGGTAAGTCAATAATGGGCTGAGATTGAAATTTGAAATTTGATAACTAATCATCGGGAAAATTTTTTCTCAAAAGATTGAAGTTGATATTTAATATATAATTGTATAGCATATATAAAAAACTTCCATTGCAAAAAATTTCCCCGCATGTTCCACAATTATTTTCAATGATAATAACAATGGATATCAGTTGATAACATCAAGTTTGATCGAATAATACTGATTTGTTTTTATTTCTTCTAAGTGATGCGAACACATTTTATTATTATTATTATCATTATTATTATTATTATTTTGTCGTCATTATTATTATTAAGGAAATGATTTGGTTTCATTTCTTTTTTGCAAACAGCTAAGAAGGAAAAGAGAAGTTTAAGAAAGGATATAAATGCCGTATTGATGTGATATACCTTTGCATATTTACCTTACCTTTCTTCTTTAAAATTGAAACTCATAAGAGAATGTGTGAGTTTACTCTATAAAAGAATGTATGAGAATGAATTTATTATTCTTTCTTTCCGGTAAGAATAAAGTAAATAAAGGAAATGTTTCCCACATTTGATGTTGAATGATATTTGAAAACGAAAAACAACCACTTAGAAAGACAAATGAATAGTGTAAAATGCTGGCAGGAATGAATTGATTGATAAATTGGAGTAGTAAGTAAAGGTTTGATAAATTTCAAATTTGAATTAAACTTTCAATCACTCAGAAATTTGTCTGAAATGTAATTGAGAATTAATTAAGAAAGTATTAATTTTCATATTATTATTGGGTGGCAAAAAAAACAATGAACTGAACTGAACATACCATTATGGGTATAGTGTAATTTGAGGATAAAGAATAAAAATTTTTTTGAATTTTCAATTTACAGCTGTTCAAAATTATTGATGCCAAAGATATGGTATGACTGACTAATAACTGAAATGATATGTGTTAGTTTGGTTGAAATTGAAATTTGTTGTGGCATTATTTGCATTATTGATATTATACATTCTTTTTCATCTTTAGCAGCTTAAATTTGTTCGCATTTTTTGAAATGATATAATATATCAGATTCAAATCTCGTTGAAACAATGAAGAAAAAAGATTTCCATAGAATTAATAAGTGTTGCCAACTGTTGATGACCCCTAGTTAGATGATGTGATGCATATGTAAATATAAATAAAGGAAAAAAATTATGTCGTATATACGACAATATTTGACCTCAAAATGATAAGATACTTCGATATCAACATCATCTCATTTCGATATGTTAGTATATGACTTTATCGGAGCCAATCGAAATGGCCAAATGGTTCCAATTAATTTCTCTTGTTCTTCTACTCCTTCTCCTTCTATCCTCAGTGGACCATTATATGGATCGGAAAGAGAATTGTTCAGCTTAATTCGATGTTTTGACTACTTTTTTTTCCTCATCACTTTATTTCTTCTCTATTTCCCTTCCTTCTTTCCTTCTCTACTTTCCTTAGTCATCATATCTTCCTTATCCTTAATGATATGGTTTGATTTCATTGTACTCTTTCGTTCGATGTTCCAACCATTTGTCCATCCATTCGTCTTCATTCCATCGAAAGATGAAATATTACTACTCCAATGTTCACAACATTCAATCACTTCGACAATATTACTACACTCTTCCAATCATTATCATTCACAACATCGTCATCGCATAAGGCCAACTGATGGAACAAAGTGAATCGTTATTATTATTACTATTATTATTATTATTACCATCATTGTTACCGTTAACATTAATTCCCAAACCAAATATTATCAGTAGAAAGTGACAGAACGAGATGAGTAGCCGCCATCATTATCATTATCACTGATAGGTGTGTCCTATTAAAAGAACACATACAGTAAGATTTATTCGTATTTGCCTTTCCCAAGCAAAATGTTATCAGTACAATGGTGATTAGAAATATAATTCGACTTCAATAGGACTAATTATTGATATAAAAAGGGAAACAAAGGAAAATAACAAACAAATAGATAAATATATCAAACGAGTTAGCTAATTAAGCTTTAAGGTTTTTATTCAAATAGCTATTAATGATGTTGTTATCAATGATAACATATAAGTTTGAAAGATTTGTAAAACTGTTCGTTATCAATTATCATTATCAAAGATTTATGTTTTCAAAAAGTGGATTTCGAGTTTTTTGGCATTTGAAATTTTGTATATTAAAGAAGATGAGAATACTGCTGTATGATTGGAATATTAAAGAGGAAAAGAAGCAAAAAAATGAAAATACCTAAGGATTGAGAAGAAAAAAAATGCGCTAGGAAGGAAAAAAAAGAAAGAAACAGTGAAAAGGAGGAAGCAAAAGGAAATAAGATCATCTAAAGATTGAAAAAAATAAAACTATGGAAAAAGAAGGAATGAAAGCAAAGAAAAGAAGCGAAAAAAGGAGAATGCATTGAGTAAAGATTGAAAGGAAGCAGAGGAAAGTATGAACAATAAAAATCAGAAAAGAATGGATGAAACATTTACATTTCATGGTGCGTACATACATACACACGCACACATACATACATACACACACACATACAACTTTTTGAAAGTAAATTAATTTCAGAATTTTTGCCATTGCAGAGGGCGTGGCAATGGCATTTGTGTCATTGGTGGGACCGTAGATGATAAGGCGGGGCTGGAGAGAGCCGCGGAAATCGATATAAAATGAGACAAACGACTAAAGTAGTACATCATTTCTTCAATAAGCAGCACCCGCAGCCGGTGATCGTCGTAGTTGCATTAGCAACCACAGCCAAAGGCCTTTAGGGCCAAGTATTGTTTTGTTTGGGCTTAAGGGACAATAAGGTAGTGTGGTAGACGGATCGAGTGAAGCATTTTACTCCTCTGTCCACTTTACTTCCAACCGATCGTATTCGATTTGATTTATCGAATACTCTTCCTACAACAGTAACTTTTCCTCGTCCAATTTTCTTCATTTTCCTCGGGTAAATAATTTCTCGGTTCAATAAAAAACGGTGTACAATCATTCCGTTTACAATTCCGGGCAATATTTCCCACGGTATAACTGCTGTGTGGCATACCATCTGTAAAATCATTTCAATCCCCGAAGAAACTTCTCAATTTGTCCCAATACAATCAACCATGACTGTCATTGATGTGACAGCGGTTAATACCACCAATATTCAACAAACGACAACAACAACAACCGCTGAAACATTACCTGACGCCGAAGCCCAAATCGTCAACAATGATACCAGAGATGCTCCGGTGTCCCGAAAATTCGGTATTTCGGGACCACCAACAGGAACTATTAAATCGGAAATCATGAACGAAATCTATTGTAGTGGTTCACTTCTTGAAGCGGTTCAAAAAGCTAAAATCTTCCACGATTGCAAACATTTTGTCGACATGCCACTCAAAACTGATGTTGGTAAGCGCATATTATTTTTTGCAACAAATTTGATAAACTTGATGAGCTTTTTAAATTTTTTCTTCAATACCATAACCTTTAAGTATAGTGTGATAAGGACTGTATGGCGATACGGTGGGCTGGGATCGAGATTGATACAGTTTCAGAAAAGGAATATGGTTGACTAAGGAAGATTTAAAAGCAATTTAGAGTGTGCTTACATTTCCTCGATATTGTCATATATTTTGCATGATAATATGCTCTTGTAATATGTCACTAACTGTTTTCTGATCGAGAAATTGTATGGGAATCAAAAGTAACTGATAATATTGTGAACATCTATGAAACTATGTTTTTTAACTTATCTTTATAATGCTACCAAATGTCTCGTGGATTTGTACCTTTAATTTAGACTTGCAAGTTTTTATTCCTGTTATGTTAGGATAGATTTTATTTTTAACTATTATATCTGTATATCTCTACTTCTTGATATGCAATTTGAGATGGTGAAATGTGGCGTAAGAGAGTGAGAGGAATAGATAAGTATTCCGAAGTGTATAAGCAGTAATAAATAAGCAAACGTAGTGCAACAGATCAGAGATATAATTCAATGCTGCACACTCATTCATCCTTTATCACAAATCGATTCAACTCATTTGCTTGTAGCATGCAATATTTGCATGTTGTAGAGTTGTGTATAGTGGGCCGTAAAACGTTATATGGTTTGATTATTACACGTAATTAGTCGGATATCCAAAGTGGCATTATCAAGTGGACCTAAGACTAATCAGATTTCATTCATCTTTGTTTATCCTGTTCATACATAACATCGCCTATGTAATTATTTGCTTTGTTCCATTATTCTGATTTCTAAGAGATCAATTGATCAAGTCGTATAACCCTACATTTTTTCCAAACTTTTTCAGAAACGACATTGCATGATTGGCACGAATTAATTGCATCCGGCCAGATTGATGAAGATTTACTGCGACGCTTCGTTGAAAGTCATTTTGATGAGCCAGGTGGCGAATTAGATACTTGCGAGCCAACTGATTTCGATCCAGAATATGGCAAATTTGAATCTATCAATTCACCATCATATCGGCAGTGGGCCAAGGAACTCCATCGGAAATGGCCTACATTATGTCGTAAGGTATGTAAGTTCCTTGTTAGCTTTTCCAATTTTCATATCCAGGTAAGTATCGGACGAAGTTTCCGAAAACGGAAGAGATGTGGAAGTTATATTTTCGCGTATTCCGTTTCGAACTTTTGCACCTAACGTTGCTTAGAAGCTTCTGGTTAAAGTTTAGGATATCTTGGAGAAATTTGAAGCAAAAAATGAAAAAATGTAATTTATTATGTCGTTAAATCCAATTGTTGATGCTTTATAGTTCCTTCTCTCGGAAGCTTCTGATCAACTGTTTTTTATCACAGGTTAAGTGATAAAGTTCGCTGAGAATAATTCGCAACGCTTCCTAATTTCTTCCTAATCACCATAATTGTTAAAGATACCCGGATTCTCCCCTGTGAAATGGATATTTTTTTCCACCAAGTTTGAAAAAAATTTTTGACTTTAGAACAATTTTTTGTCCAACATATCACCGAACATCGTTAACATTTATTACTTATTACAGGGAAAGAAAAAGATTACAGTCATTAAAGTCCACATTTGGGGTGAAACATAAACTCAGTACCTCTTTTCCGACTTACTGATTAAGGGATTGATGGGTACAAGAAATTTTGTCAAAAAAAGAGAATTGGAGTTGAACGAACTTCAAAAAATGTCTTCTCCATTGAAAAGTGTACCTAAGCCAAAAGCTGTCTTCGTTTTATTTCACTTATGTTCCATTTCGAAATAAAAGAAGACGATTCAAATTTATTTACCTTTACTTGGACTCGAATAATTTTTAAAATTTTATGGACTTGCCATATCACCCTGCTTTTTTAGAAGTTTGGTGAAATAATAGTGATATAAGCAAACCAACCTTATTACAGCTAAGATTGGGGAATAAGTTCAAGTAAGTCGGATTGGAGTGTCATTTCCCTTCCCTCTTCGTCCTCCTCTTGGTTCAATATATTTGATTAGATGGAAATTCTCCAAGAAAGGTTCTTACCGCATTCTAGGTCTTCGTCTAGGGTTGGGAATTTTTCCCCATATTATACCTCCTTTTACCCTTTTCAATAATTTTCCGTATGCGGTATATTTGAGTTTTTCCTTCAGGTAATGCTGTTTGGTTTTCATGCTTTCGGTTAATCCGAACCAGGGTGATGCTTTTCCGAGTTTCAGGTAGTATGGGTTGTTTGTTAGTGATGAGTGTTTTGGTTTTTCATTCATTCATCGTACCGATTTCTGCTTTTATGTGTCAGTTATCAGTATGTTGAGTTTTGAATTTTTTTTGTATGTGGGTTTGAGTTGTTTTTACGATATTGAATTTGCAGACTGCAGCATCTGTTAAGCTTGCACTTTTTCATCTTCTTCTTTCCAACAAGACTAACTCTCGTGGAAATTTTTTAAACGGGATTCTTCCATAGGCAAAAGCCCTTAAAGTTTTTGATAGTTTCGGAAAAGCATCACCGAATTATTTCTGGATGTTACTTTCTCACGAAGCGAGTGACATTTTTTCGAATGACAAATTATGATAAGTCGCAAAAAAAGGAATTTTAGTCAAAATCTTCATGAAAATGTTTCATCCAGAAACGAATTAGGATTTGTATTTGTTTCTTTTTTATTTTGTATTTTGCAAGTAGGAATCCCGTATGCCGTACACAAGGTTTACAATTGAAATTTGATAAAACTCTCCCTGGACTCCTTGAAATATTTTAGGAATTCCTGCTGCCATCATCATCATCTACATCATTCAGAAGCCCGATATACGTACACAGGAAACGATTTGAATCGCTCTTCTAAATGGTACAAACAACAATATCAACAATAAACACATATATGTGAATATGCATATGTATATATATATGTATATATGCAAACAATTATTGTTTGCGTAATCAACAGGATATCACTACATTCCGGAGTTTCCCGGAATCAACAACGAGCAGTGGAATGGATTGATGCGTCGACATTATCATCCAGTGGAAACTATAACGATATTAGAGATCACTTAGGACACTAGGAATTAGGCTTATTGTAGTTTTGTAGTTCATTAGGAAATGCATCAAGGTTTCATCTAAATTCTAGGCTTCTCCTTCAGCTTCTCGCCACACAGGTGTTGATCAAGGTTTGCTTTTTTCACTTATTTCTTGTGTGCACCAATTTATGGAACCTTGATGCTAGATAGCTAGTTATAGGGAGCACATTTTATCAGTTAGATTTTTCTTTTTTTCATATTTATTTTTCTTTTAATTTTGAGACAATTTGGGTAATTCTAAGACTTTAAATGTATTTTTCTCTGATACTACTGCTAGTGAATAGTTTGATATAAATTTATGCTTCTGTTCTTCAGTTTTAAGTACAACTACCTAACTAAGATAAACAGCTTGACTTAAGATTGCTTAAGATTTTATTTTGACTGAAGATTGCATATATTGCAAGCGGAGAATTGTAAATGCAGTATCGAAATTTCATGCCAAAAAATTTACATAAAAATATTTCGTCAAAAAGCGTCGCACTTGTTAATGATGTTACCATGAGAGAGTAAGTGGAAATAATTTTAGGTGACTACTTGATTATTTTTGGTTTTGTTTTAATTTACCAATTTCTTTTCTTTAATTAGCTGTAATTTTAGGTGTCGGATCGCGTTATTGCTGATCCGGAAAAATTCTCATTGATTCCACTACCGAAACCATTTGTTGTGCCTGGTGGACGTTTCCGGGAGATGTACTACTGGGATAGTTTCTTTACCATCAAGGGTCTTTTAGCTTCAGGGATGTATAACACCGTACGTGGAATGATCGAAAATATGGGAAGTCTTATCGAAAGGTAATTTTATATTTAACATACTTAGAACATAGGAACTATCGTTTGACAGTTATAATTTCGAGATCTAACTTTTAAATTCAAGTTGTTTTTTAAATGGAATAAAAGACGAAACATTTGTTGCTGTATATGACTTGAATATATGTTAGTCTAAATCTAAATATATTCTTAAATTTCCAGATATGGCTATGTGCCCAATGGAAATCGCGTATACTATCTTAATCGATCTCAACCTCCGTTACTCACGTGGTGTCTGTTTGCATATTACGAAACAACAGGTGATAAGGAGTTCGTCTTCGCTGGTGCTCGTTGGTTCGAAAGAGAATTTTCATTCTTTCAAACACATAAGTAAGTGTTGAATTCGAAGCGTATAACACATCATGTAGCTTACCTAATTTGGGTTTGCAGTTGAATCTGAAGGAACATGGACTTTAATTAATGCAGAATTTTCCTTCTCAAATTTTCAGATCAATTCAACTGCCCGGTGTGACATCGTTGCTCTATCGATACCATGTTGTAGCCGTTGGTCCACGTCCGGAAAGCTACCGTGAAGACGTTGAAAGTGCTCATCATATCGAGGATGTCTTAGAGAAACAACGTTTATGGGGTGATATAGCAGCTGCAGCTGAAAGTGGACGAGATTTCAGCTCACGTTGGTTTTCTCGAGATGGGCCCGTAGCTGGTAAAATGGGTTCTACACGGTATATTCTTTTCAATTCATTTCATTTTGAGCGTACCCTGTGAGAAGGACATCATATGAATGTATTAACCGCTTGGCTCTCATTTTCAACAAAAAACTCACTACAAGATTTATAATTAATTTATGGGAGACATGCTTATTTTGGAATGCATTTTCAGGACAAGTTCGATCTTACCAGTCGATTTGAATGCAATCATTTGTGGGAATCTTCGTTTAATGGCTAATTTGTATGAGGTAATTGGCGATACGTTAAGCGCTGAGCAGTGTCGACAACAGTTCAGAAGTATGAAGCAGGCAATCCATCAGATATTCTGGAATGAAGAATGTGGATGCTGGTTCGATTACGACATCATCTATGGTCGTCATGTTAATGTTTATATGGATACCAATTTCTTTCCATTGTTCAGTGGATGTACGCACGATGGTAAGACTATTTATTTATTTTATTTGATTTATTTAATTTGTTAAGGAAGAATTAATTTCATATTTTTATAGCAGTGGAAAAATGTAAGGCAATAGAGCAGAATTTATTGAAGATTTAATTGCAAAGGTTGTTGAGAAGTTAGAAATACGTTCTCTGTCTGTGAAAAGCTTAACACATTCTCTTGCAGTTTTCCCAAAATTAAGAAGAGTAACTAGATATATGGCAAATAATGCTATGCATGGCTTTTGAATCCAGCCATTTAATGTGATTCGGAACTTGAAATTTGAAATTTCTCTTTTCTAAATCAATTTATTGAAACTAGGAGATAGGTGCATGAAATGGACTTGCTTGAACTTTGTAAAAGTCTTATTTACTTCGTTTTCAGATTTCGATCCGCAGAAAATAGTATCCTACATGACAAACATGGGCGTTCTAGCCTTCCCAGGTGGTTTACCAAGTTCGTTGATAGCATCCGGACAACAGTGGGATTTCCCTAACGCTTGGGCACCAACAACTTGGGTTGTGATTCAGGGTTTGCGTTCCACTGGTCAACATGAACTTGCTCGTCAAATTGCGGAGAAGTGGATCAAGCGAAATTATAGCATGTGGCTTATTTCTGGTGGACGGATGTTTGAGAAAGTTGGCATTTTTGAAATTTGAAGTTTGTGGGTCAAGAATTGTGCGCTGAAATTAATATTTCTGGATATGTGAGTTGTTATGAACTTTTTCAGTATAACGTTGCGTCGCAAAGCTATAATACGGCCGGAGGTGGTGGCGAATATGAGGTTCAAGAAGGATTTGGATGGACCAATGGTGTTGTCTTAGATTTGCTTCTTACATATGGACCTGACTTGACCTTCAAGTCGGATGATGACACGTCCGTAACACCGGAAGAAGTGTGCGTTTTTTGCCAGGAACACCGCCAAGTTTCTGATGGTGCTACAACCGCTAACACCATACTGGTACCATCACCAACTAATTCTGGTCTCCAGTAAGTCAAAAATATGAAGTAGATATGGAAATATAGAAATGCCACCACGTCATACTTATTATTTTGGTACTCCACCTCAAGATATCAAATTTTTGAACAATTATAGAGCGCACCATCTGAGTTACTAAAACGTAAAATGCGTAAAATTTTGGAATTTGATGATGTGCTAATCAAATGATAGTAATTGATTCGAGATATTTCGAACTTTTTTTCAATGCAGAGCAAATTAGATGAGAAGTGCATATTAGTAGCTAAATTATAATGTCGTAGAACATTATGAAGTAGTTTTCAACACGAAAAAAATGTCTTTTTTTTCGAGGATTTGGAAAAATTTCAACTAAAATCTCTTCTCTCATTTAATAGCTGGTATTTGGGAATACGATCATTCTGAGATAAATTTAAGATTATGCCAAGCTATTCGTTTTCTTGTGTAAAATGTTTAGTGCTGATGTTTTGGAGTACGATGCTGTGATTAGCAATTTCTTCTTATTGTTATACTATCATCGATCATCATATCATAATATTAAAAGTATATTCAGAAAATTGAGAGGAGAGATAATCATGTTTGTATCCTTACAGATATTGTATTCAGACTTTTTTATATTCTTCGGGTTTATGCTTGCTAAGAAATTTAATTTGAAATATTGCAAGTTGCATATTATATGTCTTCCTTCCGTTTACTTTTGCGCTGTTCTGGAAATATAACGTTGGTGGTCATATTGTTTCGTGAACACAGCAAAAGCAGTGCACTAGAAAGAAACTTAATAACAGATTAGAGATAATGCTGTGAGAACAGTATTGTGAAGCTTGATTGACAGAACAAACATGGGTAAGGAATCGATAAGGTGAAGTCAGATAACTGTTATTCACTGATATTGAGTTATTAATGATGGAATTATTATTTATGATGATTTAAGAATTATATAAGATTGTTTTGCACACTTCACGTTTTGGTTTTGTAAATATTTTTGTCCTAACATCGATTATTCTTGCTATCCTAGGATTTCGGTATTTTTTAAAATGTAAAATCAAGTCAGTAGTATTTCAAAAGAATGAACGTCGAAGAATTTTTTAGATAGAAATCAATCTTTTATGAAATTACCTAAAAATGATGACTTGAACATATATTTACAAAATATTTGGCGTTGTGAAATATTGAAATGAGCGCGAGGAAATGAATCGAGCTGAAAGAAACTGGTTTTTAATGGTAATTAGCATATTAATAATAAAGAAATAGGAAACTAATAGAACTCAACGAAATCAATTGGAATGAACTCTTCGATGAAAACGTGATTCATTTTTCCGTAAATAATATAAGTATCCGCAATCATTGGTGTGCTAAATTTATTTTATTATCAGTTTTATGTACGTCGCAATTATATCTTCAATAATCAATTTTAACCAAAGTTTATAAAATTAAAAAATTATGGATTTAGATAACTTAACAAAGTTTCAGACTATAAAAGATCAATTCCCATTTGTAAGACATACGCGTTAATCGAATATACAAACAAAAGCAAAAAGTCGAAACTATCCACCAATGGTACAGAAATGCAATTTGAAACATTCATTAAGTGTCATCGCCAGTGTTAATCACCGTAAAGTGTTTATCTTCAGCTGAATAATTAAATAATAATGTTTGGAGTTGGCATTATGCTTAAAAATAAATATTTTATGGATCGATTTTTCGAAATTCTATAGGACAATGAGTCATAGTTTCTTTTTTGAAATAAATCTGATGATGAATATTTATTGATCTTATTAACTTAACATTTCCAAATCTACTTGATAGAGTTGATATTCAACGGACTATTTAAATATATTATGAGATATTATTTTTATTCGCATAAATACAATTTATTTGTGTATGAATTAATTTCACATGAATATTTGTTAGGAATATTTCATAATATATTAAAATAGTTCGTTGATTATTGATTGATTGTGTTAAGTAATTATAATTGATAAAGTTTTTTCATTTCATTTCAATGTTGGTGCTTGTTTTGTCGTTCTGTTTGTGCTTTTATTTTCGTGGAATAGAAAATCTTGTGGAATAGAAAGTATGGCCTAACAACTGTCTCCAGACTTGCAAGGGAAGAGATTGTTTTCATCCCAACACCTCGAAAAATGACATTTTTGAAATCCGAAATCTTGTGGTCGTAATTGATCTCGGATGCAGTCGGACATAAGCAGGTTTTTAGTAATTTGGTTGTTAGTAAGTGCAAGCTTTTTTTCATTCTTAAACATTTTGGAGTGATCAAAAATTAATTTCGTATTGCAATCCGTTAAGGGATCAAACTTTGATCAGAAACGCGGTCCCGTGGTGTAGTGGTTAGCACTCAGGACTTTGAATCCTGCGACGGGAGTTCAAATCTCCCCGGGACCTTCGTTATTAACATATCAGCTTTTGCAAACTCGTTCACTAATATTTCATACAAAATTGACGATAACTTTTAATTTAATTAAATTCGTGTTTTGAACAATTAAGTTGCAAGCTCAGAAGCACAATTTGTATTTGGACTTTAAAAGGATTTAAATGTTTGATATGCTAATAAAGTTTGGCAACTTATGTGATGCGATACTAAAGAAAAAAATTATCGAATAAAGTCAGTTTTGCATGAAGTACCAAAGTACTGCAACAAATCCAACCAAAATCTGATAATGACCTAATAATGACTCGACGAGATGCACTGGAATATCGATCAACACGCTTGTCATCATCATTCATTACTCGTAATTATCTCCGTAATGAATGATGATATATGTTGAATAGTAAATGATGATGTGTCATAAATAGTAAATGATAACATATCGTAAATAATATGTTTCATGACCGTTAGGACGGTTCTTTTGACGGACGGAATTATAAGTGATCAATAAAGAATTTATTGTAAATATCCGGTAAAGAATATTTAATGACGATGCAGTTGTTGATACATTACTGATTAACAGTATGGTATTACTGATTTAAGGTTAAGTTACAGTATTTCTGATTCGTGGTTAAAACCTGTGATTTGAGGTTTTTCAAATTTAGCAAATATATTCTAATTTCTATACTCGAGTATTTTTTATAATTTAATAAATTAATGTTGCAAATTTCTTGGAAGTAAATTTAAACTAATTTTACATATGAAACGATGACTGATTATTATCAACTGTATGCTGAAGGGAGTGATTGTTATCTAATGGTTATATATTATGATTATTTCGCTGTTTTGGAATAGATCGGTAATTTCGATAGACAAACTGAATCAATTTTTACCTATCATATTGCTTGTTAATACAACTCTTGAATTTAGCTTGTTCAATTCATTATTTATCCGACTAATTATCAGTAATTAGAACTATATACTAATTATGCTTTTGGCTTGTGAAAAAACAACTTACGCGTTTTGATGCAATTAAATGTTATATTAAATACGTACGCTAACTGTTACTCAAATATACAAGATTTAATACTAACCGTAGAATTAATTGAATAGCAAGACTAATTTCGGATTTCTTGTTTTCATGGCTATTAAGCCAGCGATAATTAATTACTAAATCAAACTGGTTGGATGAATATTTTTCTTGAAAATTGACCTGAAATGAGTAACAGAAGTACTTTGTCTTATATATCTATCTATCTATCTATCTATTTGAGTTTCTTTTTCTATAATTCTGGCAACAATCATTGCATTGACACAATTTATATGATGAAATTCAAATTGGAAAAATTAATACATTTTCTTCTTTTTTGAAATTTAATTGCAAAAAATTTCAGTGAAAGAAAATCTAATAAAATTGAATTACTCGACAATTTTTCTCTTTTTCTTTTAAAATTTCTTTCTCCAATTTCTGTTAACTTTCGTAAAAAATCTTCTAATGTCCCAGTTTTTCAACTTTGTCGTTGATAATGGGTGAATGGATCGATGGGTGGATGGTCTGAGAGATGAAATGAACATAACCTAAGATGGTATACATACACATACATTAGTGATAAATTAAAATATTGATCTTTGATGTAAAATCAAAGATGATAACTGTAGGCTGGAGAAGTTTAGCTGGCAAATAAACTCCTCAAACCTATATGTAAATCATTTATTAAATACATAATTTTCATCCCATTCTATATTCCAAAGATAAAGCCATAACGTCCATTGTTTAATTGTTTAATGTCAGTCATAAATTTATATTATAATTATTGTTTACCGATATATTATTATTGTTATTCTTGTTATTGTTATTGTTTTTCTTAGTGAATTTTTGCAAAAATTCAAATTAGAATGGATAAGATGAAAAGGGTTTGAAAACTTATTTAAATGATGTTATCTTTGGTATCAGTTTCTGTTACTGTTGAACTTTTAAAAAATTCAATTTGTCACTTGTTGTCCTAATTTTTGATGATGTCTGAAAGCATCTCATTCCAACTGTGCTGTTTTGTTTCAATTTATCGTTCAGTTTAATCCATTCGTTCATTTCTTTTGTCAGCCTACCGGAAAATAATATCCACTTCCCGGGAAATCTTGAAATTATTTAACTTTGTAATATGTGGTTTTCATATTTCAATTCTATTATCCCTTACTACTCTTATAGCATGCTATCATTAAATTTTACAGAAAATAATTCATATAACTCGATTTTAACATTTATTTTGATATTTACGTTTCCTTGACTTTCTGAATTTAATTCCGGAAAAATTTTTTGAGAAAGATTGGATAACTGAAGTTGAGATTTCAGAATGATCTAGTATAACCTAGTGATAGGCTTAGTATAATTCCTTTAATTTGAAATGCCTTCAAAAAAAATGAATGAAACTAGTGTCATGGTTTGAAATTCAAATTTAAATAACAATTAAATCGTTCATTTTTCTTTCCGTAAAGTTCAGTTGGTAATTTCTTTATACAATTATGTGACAAATTTAGACATTACGCAAAAGTCATAGAAATAGGTGAATAGTTCTAGAATGGATAAGATGAAAAGGATTGAAAACTTATTTAAATGTGTTAATAGAAGAAGAGAAAAGTGGAAAAAGATTAGAGAAATGTTTAGCTTAATTGAGATAGTAATTGAATGGCTTATTGGAAGAAAATTTGTTATTCATTACAATCTGATAAGTATCAATCCTCTTAGAAGAATCAGCACGATTTCTTCGAGTGTTTGAAGTTCTTTTTCTGATTGTCGATGTTATTATTATTGTGGCTGATACTGTCTGTTATTGTTAGAAATGATATACCATAAGCTTTATTAACAAATTTAGAATTGACTTCTGTTTTCAAATTTTTAAAAAATATGTGTTAGCAATAATATATCAGTTTCTATTATTACTAATATTGTTTTGCCGATCAATTTTTTTTCATTTTAAAACAAAATTTCAATTTTAGAAAATTTTTATCATTATTTTTGATTATTATTTTGATTAATTTTTATCATTATTTTTTGATTATTTTTTGATGATTATTTCAAAATGATTTCTCATGAGCTATATAATTGAAATTTTCAGAAATATGGGCACGATAAGTGCAATAATTATCATTTGCTGTTTGATCATTTCTGCTGCATTAACCGTTGTTATTATTCTGGTAACTATACCAACTGAAATTACCCATCAGTCGCACTATTCCGAATTATGGATTAATCAGCAAAGTACCCGTCATGGCAATTTTTATTTTCATCCAAATAAAAAAATACCACACAGCTTATTACAAAATTCAACAGTAATTACAGCTATCGGTACAGCTTCTACTACTATTACTGCTACTACTACTACTATAACTGCTACTACAACTACTAATACTATTACAATAACCAAAACAGATATTGATACTACTACTTTTCCTAATGCTACTGAAATATTGAAGCTTACATTAGAAAATGACAAACTACTTTATCAATCACTTGTATTAACAACCACAATACCGATGAAAACCTGGAAATCGAATCACAATCGTTCATCACAAAGACATACCACGATGCTTTTAAGCACAAATATTACGGTAATACGAGAGAAAGAGTTAATATCGAGCAGTCGGCAATCAATGACAGAATTGCGACATCATTCCGCATTCCACGAATCAACTCCGCGAAATTCGCGAAAAAATTTGACAACTCTTATGTTGCATCAACATATCAAACAGCTACCATTAAACGATGATAATTTAGTAAAGAATAAACGAGAAAAGGAGCAAGCGACGCAAATGACGTTGTTAAGTGAAATAACGTTTCCGAATGATGTAAAGATGGTAGGATTAGCGATGCAACGTGGAGTTCTCTATGTTGCTACAAACGATGGGCGAATTGTGGTGATAAATCCGGAAACTAGTGAACAGGTAAGATATAATAATATTGGTTCCCTTTTCCGTTCCGTTTGCTTAAAGAATGCAAATGTATGAATAAATAAGGGTTGATATTCGAGGAATTTCCCCGAAAGTTCTAAGAGCTTCAAGCAAAATAGGAAATATTTAACGATATTATAATGAAGGCAATACTGGACAAAATATTATTCGAACAAAAGTATTGATGTTTTGGGAAGATTTTATTATCAGAAATGTATGAGAAAAGAAACAATAAATATCTGATCAGTGAAAATAAGCAAATTTAAGAGGCTAAATTAAATGAATTAAATTGTTTTAATTTAATTTAACAAATGGTTAACTGAAATATGGCTAAATTAATTGATTAGTTAATTGTGCTAACGATTTTAGTATTTTATTACAATATCAAACAAAAGTATTTATTAAAAAAATAAATTTTACTTCAAACTAAAAAGGAAAATGAAATAAAATTTTTTTAACAATAATATTTTTCAAATCATATCATCAAAATTTAATCTGTTTATGATTTATTTATTGATACAAATATTTGATATAATTAATGCTAATTATGATATGACTCATATTTATAAAAAGATTATTCCAATATTTAAATTATTAAATTTTAACTTAATATTTAACCATTTTACTAAATGAAAAACGATAAGATTTCCAATGTTCTATGTAAAATTGGCTATCAGATTATTGAAATATAAATAAAGCTAAATTATTTAAAAAGTGTTGGAAGATTTTCTACTTGGCTAATCGAATCGAAATACAAAATGATAATCAAATTTTAGGATAAAGCCAAATAACATTAGATAATATATTAAAGCCCAGCAATTGTTGGCCAATTTTGTATTCACATTTTTAGCTTTTGTTGGCCACAAATAAAACAATTTCAATTACTTCAATTCATCGGACAACAAATTTTTTGAAGTAAAATTGCATTAAATTATTGAAAAAAGTAAAATTCAAATCCAAACAGTTCCAAAATTAATTGTATTATTGAAAGCGATAAATGACTAATTTATCATTCTGAACATTTATTTTATAGAAATTAAAGTTTAATATAGAAATTAACGAAAGGAAAAGAATGGAAAATAAATTTGCCGTATCTTATTGCCAGTTTTTTTAATTAAAATTCATACCAATGATTTAATCTAAGAAATTTAAAAGATATTGTTAATATAAAGTAAGCAATAGAAGTTTGAAAATATTATAACATGTAGAAATTTTCAACTTTTAATTTTTAAATAAATTGAATTACACGTTGGAAAAAAGATCAACTTTGAAAAATGAAAAATTGTTATATTGTTCATTTCAGGTACAAACTATTAGAGTTAATGGTAAAATAAGCCGAATGACTGTAACGCATAATGTTGATATTATTATCCTAAATGGTACCAATTTGAAATCATATCGAGATGGACAGGAATACCGGAAGATAAAATTGCCAGTAGTTGGTAAAAGCTTGTCTACTTTTGAAGATGAGGTTGTTTTGTTTTAATTATTTGTTACATAAATATTGTTTAATTAAAGAAGTTTAATAAAAAATATAATGGAATTAGAAATATGTTTCGATATATTAGATTGGCAAAGAATTAAAGATAAATTCTTGAAATTGTAAAATTAAGTGATAATTTGGAAGAGAAATTAAGAAAAGATAATATTACTTCAACATTTCAAAATATATTTCAACTGAATAAATTTTAAGAAATATTTCAAAATAATATAATTAAACTAAATTAAGTGGATTTTAATAATTTTTCGAATAATAGTTCAGCTCAAATAATTTTAAATAAAAATTTACCTGATTATAATTTTATTGTATTTATTTCAGTCGATTTAAAAAATCAGCACTTAGCCATTTCATTTATTCGGTAATAATTTGCAGTCAACAATTTGCAGATAGGCTTGGAGCGGATAATAGCGCTTGGAGGAAGTAATGATGTATTATTTGTGTTTACGGATGATTTAAGACCGATCGAAGAAATATATTACAAAAATGATATCGAAGAAATGTGCAATTTTGCTATTTTATATCAGAAATATTATTATGTAAGCTGCCAAAGTGCCATTCTACAACTTTCAGAAGTTAGTTCATTCAAATTTTGGAATGGATAATTTGATTTTGATAACTCTAATCTCTCAACACACATTTTAGGTAATTTCTCAAAAATTTATTCAATGAGAGGAAATTCTATGCTTATTTTTATTATAATTTATAATAAATTTTATTGTAATTTACTTTCTAATTTCATTCCAAATTATCTCGCAAACTCAATTTCAGTAGTTCTATTTTATTTTTTATACAAATCCATTTTAATAACATTTTATTTTTCCATAAAGAATGGTGAAATCACGAAAAAGATCGGTGCTAATAATGGACCTTTCTCGCTTGGTATAACAATTGATGATCAAGCTCGGATAATTGCAGTTGTTAGAGGTCAACCACTTCTTCGAGTTTTTCAGGTTAGGATTTCGGTTATATTCACTTTGCTAAGAGTAATGCTAACACATGAGGAAATTTTAATTTGAATTTTTTGAAATTCAAAATGTTTCGAACGGTTAGTGCGCGTATAATTAGGAGCTTTATTTATCCCTAATGCTAATTATTGTTTTTACTTATACGGATGATTTACTAACATTTAATTTAATCGCTTATTCTTTCAGAATGGTAAACTACAGCATAATTTATCGGCGGTATCGTCCAATGAAATATCTGCAATTTGGTCGGAAGTTCTTTATGAGAAAGGTCGATTACATATTGCGGATTATCTGACGAGTAAACTGAAGACTTTCCGCTATCCGATCAGTAGCACTGAGAATGACGCGTAACATTCACAATATGTCAATTGATCAAAGGTCAAGTTGATGAGGTTATCAAACCACCACCGCATCATCGTTCTCACTTTTCTAACAGCATATTGTTATGAAAAGCTAACATGAAAGATCCTTGTCATTATATTCCCTCATTGGTTGTTTGTCAAAATTAATATGTCAACTAATGTATTTATCAGAAAATCGATCTTAAATTTGTCAACAACAGACAAATGATTGATTTGAGAATGTGAAAAGCAATCTCTCAGATATCCCAATAAATAACAGGTGATTCAGGTAAAATCTCTTTCATCTAGTCATTAAATTTATTAAATTTATTAAATTTAAAGCTGAAAATGGTTTTCTTTGAATCATTACGAAAGATAAATCGCAATGATTTAATTGAATTAATTTAAAATTTACCTTTCAAATTTCTTTTTCTATTTTTCTTTGATGTAAATAATTTATGAATTCAATTCCAGTCCTATCATATAAGTTTCAATCTTTCATTGCAAGATGATAAGGAACAGTATTTCACATGTTTACATTTAATTTGAACTACGGGTCAAATAATCTTTCTATGATAAATTTTCATTTTCCTTTTCTTTTTATTGTAACAATTTATTAACTAAATTTTGAAATAAAATTTCTTTTCTTCACTTTCAAAGTTCATCATTGAATTTTTGCTTTGTATTAGACGACATTTTGTCATTAAATGTTTACCTGTTAATTATATTCAATGTTAATTATATTCAATTCTTTTTCTCTTTCTCTCTCTCTCTCTCTCTCTCTCTCCTATCTAATAGAAATATTTGTAATTGTATTCACAAATAAAAAATCCCAAATTATTTTTATATTTTTTGAAAAAATTAATTAAAATTTTTGAAAGAAGTTTGGAGAAAGAGAGAAGGAATTTCTTTAAGTTTCTATAAAATATCAAAATTCCAACTTTTTTAAATACCTGTCATAATCTATCCCTCCCTTACCTTTCTTTAACATATGCCGAATCAAAATAAATTAAGCTTAGAAGATAAGATAATAAAGATCTACCCGTTTTCCTTAATTATGATCTGCTAACTGAGATCAGGATTATTTCTCTGTTCCACCTTCATTTGTCTACTTTTATAACTGCCACTGCTAAGTAGTATGTAAATATCTTTTGGTTCTTTTAATATTGATAAAATAGCTTATATTTTGATCTAAGCAAATATTCGATCTAAACAAATATAGAAACTAAAGTTGAATAAAACTAAATCAGCATGGTACTACCATGTTTTACATTGAAAAAATATCCGAAATTCCGGAAAAGGAAGATAGGAAGGATGGAAATGAGCAGAAGGAAGAGAAAATAGCCGGAAATGATCCGTTAAGAAAACATATTAATCTATCCCAAACAAGCTGACAACTTATACGCCTTTTACCGACTGATTGCGGCGTTAAGTCGATATCATATTAACAATTTGGCTTTTTTTTTGGTTTATTCCGGTTCGGTTTGATTTATTTCATTCGATTCACGTTCTTCAAGCTAAATTTGCGCAACAATAATTACTCCTACTACTTTCACCATTATCGCTAACCGGATTAATCAATCTCGTAAATAAATTTATTTGCTCACATCTCTTTCAACTAATATCATTACTATTTCCACCCACAATGTCTGCTTAATTATGCTTTTAATAAGTAACATAATGTCTTATTGACATTGTAATTTCATATATGTATGTATATCATTAATTTATTCATTTGTTCAATAAATAAGATAATTAAATTATCGAAAATCTTTCACATGCTAACTTACCGATCTTTTCTTATTGTTACGCTCAGTAAATCAAATGAAAGTATAAAAAATATACTTATTTGTACTATATTTTACTTATAAGAGATCTCTTTACATGTGTTGTAATTTCTTCAAAATATCTTTTGAAGATGCAAAAAACAATTTTTTTCAGTGCCGAAAGTTTGCATCGTTTTCGATTGAATTAATTAACTTCTTTAGAACTTGAAGAAAATCTTTCTGCATATATTTCTAAACTCCAAAATTCTTTCTTTCAAATATCATCTCAACATGTAATATTTATAAACAAAATCCATCCCATCCCGAAAATTGATCATAAATTAGAAATTTTACAAAGACAGCAATAGTGATACTTTACTGTTTCATAAAGCGATGCTACAAAAACCACGGCCATAGCGTTACTTCCGAATACGACGACTCTTTAGAGAATAATTTCGGACTTTGTACCGCTAATGATTCAGTTGGTCTATGCTCACAGGAAAGTAAGGTTAAAGATGATGGAGTGGATTTAACTAAGTGAATTTAAAAGTAATCGTTTCACGTATCTCATGAGCATAAGTCAGAAACGTGGGGATTTGAAGCACATGTCTTTTACATTCTATATTATCTGCAAATTAAAATAAAAGGCAATCGAAGACAAATATTTCAGAAATCCATAAGACCACCAATTGAAAACGCAGATGATAAGAACTTTATAAATTCCGATTTCAGCGTATACACATTGCTTAGGATCTGTAATGTTGTCCAAAATATGTTCATATATTATATTATTTTTGCAGCATAATATTGCTATCAAGTGAAGTCGTTCGCAAACCGCAAAAAATTAATCATTTATTAATAAATTAGAATTAATGGAGAGCATGATTTATTTGTACATGTTTTGCTAATTTTCAGGTAATGAAACAGAGTGAAATATCACCAAAAGTTATTGCCGAATTAATACAATTCCTTCTACCGAATACACATCACAATTTACGACAACAAGCATTGGACTATGTTATTGGCCTTTCAGCATCTGACCAGTTTAACGTGATATTTCAGGTTAAATTAATTTCCATGTTTTTTGTTTTTCTGAGAAAGGATTTGTCTTGCGGATGTTGCTGCAACAATCAACCTCTCTGACGTAAACTCTTGCTGACGTAAACTGTTAGCTGAATTTAAATAAGTGATAGCAGCATTATGAACCTCCGATGGCAGGTGTGCTTATTTTTCTGTTTGCACAGTGTATGAGAAAGCTGTTAGATTGATATTTCAATAAAATCCGGTATTTTCCATTTGGCTGATACAAATACATGAATCAGATGCTGTTTGCCGAAGGAAAATGAACTGATAAAAATATCTGGCTTTCCAGAGTTTGCCATTGTTGATTTTAATATTATTTCAACTACTCTCAGTTTTTTGCTTTTATAAGAGTTCTCGAAAAATGATATGATTTATCGGTTAAGCTCCCATTAACTGACATCAGTTTTTGCTTTTTTATTTCAACTAATAAATTATTAGTATAGCTGGATGGCCTAATTATATCTGTTAATAAGTTTGATAGCATAATTTCATATGTATTAGGATGATAGTAGTGATGAACAAAATGAGTGTTATATTCAGTAACGTCATTGTTGTTGTTATTGGGAACTTGATTTTGTAATCATTATAAGGAAGTAATTTACTGACAATTTTTCCGAATATTTTGTTAACTGTTTGTTCAGTTGTTCAGAAAGCAAAAGAATAATTGTATGCAGAAGTTGAAATTAGCATTATTTTACTATGATTTTTTTTATAGGCAAACGATTTTTTGTTGGGACAATCATTGTGTCAATTAATTTGCAAAGATAACATAAGTGGGAGTGATATACTTCCTGCGTTAATTAACGCAACTGCTACTGATGTGATCTGTGTCAAATATGTAATCAGTAATATCGAACTTATCCAACGATGTATTGTGTATTGTCGGGATGGCAATGAACGATACTCATTGAATGCAGGAAAACTTTTGTCCAATTTATCGCTACATTTCCCGGACAGAGTTTGTTTTCTTTTTTTTGATATAATGCATAAAATGGTTTTTATCCTGGGCTGTCATATTTTTTGAAGTCTTAAGCAAGTTGAGTTGTTATATTTTTGTTCTGTAAAGATAGGTGACTCGAACTTAAATGTGGCGTTTTACCAGCTGATGGGTGTGAATTAGTGCCTGACACATCGTGCGCGTATTTTGAGAAACAGCTATATTTAAAAACGTCTTTGGTTTTTGTAGGCAAATTTTATTTAAAGAAAAAACTCAAATTTTTGAAGTGTTATGTTACATGTAATAAGTTTAATTATTTTCGCAAAATATCCACCACTCATACACAAAAAAATGTGTGGAAAATTTAATAAAGATAAGGTTTTAAGCGAAGAACAAAACCGTAATGAGGTAGCGCACTTCGTTTCATTTTTTTATTATCAATATTTACTCTGCTACATCTTGTAAGCAAATGATCTCCGGATTACCGATTACTTTGGATTAGTTTTCCACTCAAAGGATACAGCTGAACAGTTTCATTTGATCCCAGAGTTAAGGTTGTTATCTGCTAGTTTCCGAAAATTTCAATCATTTAAGTATTTCTGAATTACTTTCGGATATATTCCCTAATATTTCAGTTGCTTAGTGTTTTGATGGAAGAATGGGAGGATTTTATTGCTGATGTAATAAGTAAGTTTTTTGGGATTCATTTTCAATAGATACTACGGATGATAATTCTGATTTATGGCTGATTTGCAATGTGATAGATTCAATTGAACAAATATGTAACTGCTATTTGCAAGAATTATTTGATTACTTTTCATCATAATACTTAAGATTGAGTTAGGAGAAAATGGAATTATAACTTGTGAGAAGTTAATTTCTGTTTTGTAACCTTTAGATATCAATTGTTGATTATATTACGATTATCTCATTTTTATGGAGAACATTTTCCAGAAAGGTTAAATGATTCAGTATCATGTGAAAGTACCGATTATCTTGGTTATGTGCTTGTAAATCTGACTTCAATTACAAACATTCGCTGTTTATTATGTGAAAAATTTGTTCGACAAATACTACCACTGGTCGATTGCGATAAAAGACCAGGAAAATGTCTAATTGCGATTGATATTTTACGGAATATGTGCTTTGAAAACAGTAAGTTTTTTTTTTTTTTTGTTGCAGAATTTTTTTTTCTTGCTAACTTTATTTTGAAATAGATTCACT